AAAATGTGAAAACAGAGGAGTTTAATGCACGAAAAACAACTTTTATCAGAAACAGCTATTATCAGTTTTTATGACATTCATATTCATAACAACATACACACACATCCCAGTTGGGTTCAACCTTAGTCCCATTCATTATCACCGGCGCTGTTGTTTCTGCTGCCTGCAGTGACATACCTCATTATTGACCTTGGTAAATCCTCGCTGTTTAGGCTAACGGCAATTCGGCGCCACAAAATGTCACAACGCTACTCTGCACTCACTCATGAAGAAAATGTGCACATGGTTAGTTAGGGGGAAGATGCACAACAAACTCTGTCAGTCACCTTGAACTGCAAACATACACGTCCACGGCCGAGCACCTTGAACAACAACAGATAACTTGTAAAGTGCAGCCTCTGACTCTGGAAACATTACACACTATCTTGAGCGCCATAGCTGGAGTGGGTGTTTTTGGCACTCTTTGGCCAACTACCCACACCCAACGTAGCAATGGTCTGCATAAAACAAGAGCTGTGGCATTTGAAGCTGTATCATCTAGTAGAGAGTGGGAGAGCAAGAAAAAAAGAGGAGGGAACAGACTCACTACTGTGAATTGCCCATTCCGGTTAGTCACAAGTGACACAGGACTAACGAAGCCTCCGGTGGTGTTCTCCTGTCCCTCTTAGCGGTGACAGATGTTAGGAGAACAGAGTCAGATAAAGCTCTCTGCACTAGCTTGGAGAAAGAAAAAAACTGGGGGATGGGCTTAATGTAGCTCAACTTGGAATAAAAACACCCCAGTTACGCCACGGTATACAGTTTCCTGCCACAAAGTATAAAGGAATCTAAGCATCTCCTAGCAAATATTCCAAAACATCACAAGCTGCTGTGGGAATCGGGCACATGCACTCTGACCACAATGCACTTCGTGTGGACGCTCCTGAGACAACTGCTCTACCTAGACCCATCTAATCTCACACGTCCAGAGAAGAAGTTTGAGGCACACAAAGGGGGCATGTCTCCACACTAATGTATGTTCCCTTGTCTTTGGCAGATAGCAGACTGCTTTAGCTTTAACCAGCCTCCCTGGGCCACCAGCATACAGCTTAATGCGATAATACGGCCGCCCGGTGAAGCATTAGGCCTTCTGCACCCCAGCAAACAAAGGACCCCCTCTTTCCAAGCAGGGTCCGTCCCCTCCCCAGTGTCCATAGGTGTTTGCTGAAGTAAATCGGCCTAAATCCTGCACAGCTTGGCCCAACTGAAAGGGGAGGGGACTTGAATGAAGGTGTACAGATAATCTCCTTTTCTTACAAACAAAAAAAAGTCGAGGGGGGAGGGAGCGAAACAGATAAAATTAAGAATTCATATCACATGGTGCATTTGAGTATTCTTACGTTCCCTCTTTCTCTTGGTATGCCTGTGGATTTGCATTTGTGATCCCTGACCTATTGAGGTACAGGGGGAAAAGCGAATGAAAGGCTAACACAATAATGGATGTCTTGTCTGTCAGTGAAAAGGCACAGGCGTTTGGCCCCTGACTGGATGTTTTGTCTCACTTCGTGAAAGCGATGGACTGCTAGAAAGTGTCGCTTCTGAGAGTGGCATCTGTCCCAACACCCATCCATAGATCTCTAAGGACCAACATCACGCTTCTCTTATCTCTGTATCTGGGTTGTTGGCTTATCTTGAATATGGCAGATGTATGAGAACGGCCACAAAACATTAGCAAAAGAAAAGAGTCTAAATGAGTGAGCTAAATTTAAGGGTGCAATTTTTGCTACAATGTGACAACATCAACAACTAACACCTATCATCTGTAACAACACTATAAAAATGAATGCCATGTAGTCTCAAGCACTTGTGATATTTTTTGGGGTCCATAAAACAATCTGTTGCTTGCCCCCTTGCTCCCCTCCTGTATACACAGGCTAACTTGTTTTCCCTCACTCCATTCTTGCTAACCTTATCAGTGTCACTTTTTTTGTCTCTCAAAGTCCCTCCCTATTCTCTCTCTCTCACTCTCTCTCTCTCCCCCGTCTGCAATTAGACCGTTAATAGTTCCAGACCGGCATCCAGTAACATTATCTAGCCATTAGTGAGGACCCTGTCCCTCGGCTGGGACAGCTGACCAGAGTGGGCAGCGTAACCAAGGCAGTTTAACAATCGCAAAGAGGCACCAAAGTTATGTCACACTACCTCTTTACCTCTAGTTCGTAATTTCCACCTTTTCTCTCCTCACTCGCTCACTCTCCCTTTCTCTCTTGCGCTCTTTTCATCTCTGGCTTTGGGATGCTGAAAGCGAGAGAGTGGCCTGGCGGCAGTGAAAGGGCTGAATTGTGATTAAGAAGGAGGAGAGGAGCTCCTTTTCTTTGTTCTGCCCTCGGGGGTGTTTACTGAGGGGGTGTGTGGTGGAGGAGGGAGTGAGTGAGGGAAAAAATAGAGAGAGAAAAAGAGAGAGAGAGAGAAAGAAGGAAAGGGGGTGGCTGAAACATGGCATAGAAGATATGAAAGGCATTCAGGTCAGCATAGATGATGGTACTGCTGGAGAGCTACTTGAGATTGGTGTGTGCATGTGTTCTAGGGAGCGAGACCTGTAATTGTAAATATGCGAATAAATAAATTTGATTTGATTCAATATTTTTTTAAAGGCGTATTTAGTAAGAAGTGGTTCAAGAAGTGGGGTGAAAGGTATCTGCTGCAGCTGCATTCACAATGGCCCGGTTGTGTGTGATACGTGCCAAAGACAGTACACTAGACACCCTGGTACTGCTGATTATAAGAGCATGCCAATGAGATGCCCCGATGACAAGCCATTGTCTTAGCGCTTTGTCTTGGTGAACCTGCTAGCCTCTTTATGCCATCCGAACAAATATCACACAATGTTCCTTTCATAGAAACAAGTGATTTAATCTGGTAACTGCAGTGACTCAATGCAATGACTTCGTACAAAGGCGTCTGATCATTTGTTTTAGCACTTAGAACTGAATTTAAATGAGCCAAAAAAAGACAGAATGAAACTTTAAATTTTAAAGTGACAGCTGTACTACATATAATGCCCGATAACAGGAAAAACAGACAATAATTAAAAACTGATGCACATGATTATCACAAGCTTACAGCGATCTGTCATTAAAGAGATGGTGGCACAACAACAGAACCAGGACAATCTATAGAACGCTACAACTTCTTGCGCCTCTGACAGTTTTGTCAAGCTGGCCCTCACAGCTGGATGTGACGTGCTGTGAAAAAAAGGGGGAGGTTGGGGGTGTGGGAGGGTAAATGACAACCACAACACAACTACAGCCAGAGAGCAGATCAAGTTTCACATAGGGCCTAATGTGACCTCCCATTGGGCCCTCGAAACAGTGGGGTGGGGCCGCGCTGCAAGGAGAAGACCTAAACTACAAACTATAAAATACATTTGAGTTTATTATTTAACAAATCTGTCATTTTAATATTCAGTATCACATTAAAATAGGGCAAAATGTCTATTCAGGTCGATAAGGCAATAAAAGTAAACAATCAAATTTATACAGTCAATAATAAATTATAATGAATCATTAAAAAAATAATAAGGTCTGCTGAATAATTTAACCTAATTATATGTAGGGTGAGGAGTGTCGATTTTCAACTGAAAAGTATCCAGCTGGTCAGTATTATTAATGTGTGTGTATTTTTTCCATCATTTGCATACATGCAATAACGGCCTGGTAAGACGATTCAAATGGTTTTTACTTATGTCCCATATAAGACTCAATTTAGCAATCGCTTGTTATGCATTATTTACAGTTTTACAATTTTGTTTCCTGCCATTAAAAAGGAAAGAAAAACTTAATTTTCCTCAAAAGTTTAAGAAGAGAACATTTTATATTTTTCCTTAGCAAATGTTTTCAAACAAAATCTGAAAACAATCCTAAACTCAACGATATGTGACTTTCAATAACAATCAAGAGAAATGCTGCTTGGCCGTTTCACTAATTTTTTGCCCGTATTAAAAAAGAGTTTTAACCCATCGACTTTATTCCATGTCACAGACTACACTCCGCGACAGGCTGCATTGATTTTCATAAAATCAATAGATCGCATTTAATAAAGTATCGAGGTCAAACATATAATAGGGTCCGGGAATATGTGTGTTTCCTCTGCACCCAAAATATCCAAAGCAACATTTACATTTATTTACATAATATAGCTTAATTATAACTTTTTAAAAATTACATTGCAACTTGATCAAATTAAAATGAATATTTTCCTCTTATGAAAAAAAAAATTAATAATAAAACAAAGACGAAACCGCGTGAGTGATAGTCCGAAAATGTTTGTGGATGAGTTTGTTTTTCTTTGTGTCTAAATGCTCCTCAGGCCAATACTATGGGCAGCAGGACTTTTCTTTTCGTCTTTTTTATTTAGGATCCCAACCAAAATATTCGCGGCTTCAATTGACATTACCTGTGCATTTTGATTCAGACCAAAAGTCATGACTAACAAGCCATAAGTCGTGTGACTATTTATAAATTAGGAAAGTGTCGAAAAGTGTCTAAAGACATAACCTGTATTCACACAGCAGAACTTCACTCTTTCACAACTTCACCAAAGACAGAAGTTCACAACAACTCTAAGGTGTAAAAGTTTGACAAACCACGCAAAACAACTTCAGCAAGTATTTAAAAGTATTTTAGGGCAGTATGTTGTGTCCAGCAGAAGACACGCGTTCGCGCACGCGCTCACACACACATAACGGTTTTGTGCTGTGAGATAATAGACGCTCACACATCTGAACTCTCCCTGTAACTCCTACTCTATTACAACTTAAATATTTCCACAGCAACAAAAACTCTTTAAATCAGCAGACTTCTGTCTGAAGCACACAAGTAAACACACTGTCGTTGAGTTTCCCGTACTCTTGTACACAGCGCTTCAGTTGACAACGCACAATCTCACCCAAATCTAACAGTGTTTTCAAGACGCGAGAACAAGCCGGAGACAAGTTTTTTCGACACGAGACACTTTCTTACCGTTCTTTCTCCTCGGATTGGCCTGTTTTCTCCTCTTACACCGGGGACCCTCCGCCATGATCTCCTGCTTCATTGATAAGAGTGGGTCAGATGGCAGCAGTCCGCATGGGCTCCGCTCCTTCATCCAAGATCTAGCAACCAACACACACACGGCAACAATTGGACTCTCAGGGCAGGAAGGAGGATGTGTGTCGCTCACAGGAGAGAGCAAATGATATTTGGGGGTAGAGTGACTGAGAAGTCCGAATGAAGTTATCCAGGAGGGTTTGTTTGGAGGGACCGTGAGCGTCCTGCGCGTCGTCTGATCTTTTGAAGTGTGTGTGTGAGTGTGTGTGTGTCTGTGTGTGATCGGACAGCAGCGCGTGAGTGCGCGAACGAAGGGGGACGGACACACCGACACCTTCAAGTCACCATAAAGCATGTGCTGTGCGTATAGAGCATTTCACACAATGCAAAGCAATGAAAGTTTTCTGCAACTTGTGTTTAGTGATGCTTGTGCCTCCTTTCTCTCTTTGCTTTAAGTTTTTATAGGCAGATCTTCCGAGCTACTTCGTGAGTGAGTATGATGGATGTAAATACAGGATTCATAATTTCTTCGCTGTCTGACTTTTACTGAATGACCAAATCTAATTAAGAACATTTACTTTTCTTCGGAATGTATATAAAATCGTTGCTGTTTTGCACATTTATAAAAGACGGTGTTAATTAAGATTGTATTGTAAATGTTCTTATTGCAATTATATTCTTAAAAGTACAAAACATTGCGTTTTGCGTTTGTGCAAATCTGATAAATTCTTGTCATAATTTTTACATTTAAAATCTGAAATATTTAGTTTATCCTAGTGTAAAAAATATGCAACACTGCGAAGACGAATTCTTAAAAATAACAATTGTAATCCAAGCATGATAAGCAAACAAATAAACAAGGCACATTACCCCTCTCGTCACAGTGATGTAAGTCTTGCAGGATTCGTGGATGCTGATGACAAAATTAAACTGTCTTCAAAATTCTTTTTTTATTTATGCATTGAAATCTGTTTGAATGTTTACTGTAAAACTATTAGTCAAGTACCTTGCATCTAAAATAGCCTAAATAAACTGATCAAAAAGATGTTCTTATATTGTTGTCTGTCGGGAATGCATTCGTTTATGAGATCCGCGTAAACATGCACTGATAAATGTAACGAGCAAAATCATCATCATCATCATCCTCATCATCATTCCTGCGTGAAGCTGCCGGTGTGTCAGCATCCGTGAGGCGCGCGCACCTTTCTCACCTGCGCCGGCTGAAGCCAAGTTGATTGCAATCTCACATTCAGGTGGGGATTTAAAAAAGTAAAATAAGGTGTATAAAAAGCATCCACGAGGACTCAAGTACACACGAAACAGGCTCACCTACCCGATTCTATATGAAAATTCCCCAAAGAGCCGGTTAGAGGGGAGGAAAACGCCACAGAGATGTTTGGAGCGCTGAGGAGGACTCTGCTCTATAATGAGGGACCGTTATTCCTGATGGACAGGTTTGGACTGATCTCTGTGAGCCACAACACGGAACAAACCTGAGGACGCACTGACGTGTTCCGCCTCTTCAGATGACATTTCTGCGCTCTCTCTTTTACTTTTGCGCTCCGAGACTCTGACACACACGCCACCTATCTTTACACGGCGGGATAGATGGAGAGACGCCGAAGTCGTCTGATGATGAACCAGATCAGGTGCTGCGCGCGTCTGTCGTTGGACAACTCAGGTGGGACTTTGGAAAGGTGAGGCGGTGGCGCGTTGGACACTCTATCCTGCAATCGGAACAGAGCAAAAAGGTTTGCACCACGAACATCGTCAGGACAGATGCTTTTATGGAAGAGGAGCTGAAAAGATGCACGAGAGGCTGCCGATGCTGCAGTGATCTGACAGGTAGCTCACCTGTGTGTGGTGTGTGCGCGCGCGCAGTTTCACCTGACATTTCATTGTACCTTTTTGTCTTGCGCGGTGATTGATGTCGCATTTCGGTACGCATGTCTCATGTATGATTCACTGTATAAAATAAGGGCTGTTTATGGGATAAACAGTGCAATTAAAAGTGATAGTTCTGAGACTTTATTTTGCGCACTTTAAACCAGAACTGATCGATTCGTCGCAGAAGGCGACCAAGAATCATTTAAACATTTAAGTATAACAACAAATGTAGCTTTTTTTCCTTTCAAACGTTTTTCCTCAACCATCTTCAATGCTTAATCTTTTATTTTAATGAAGCACTGCGGTTTATTAAAGGCGCTCTGATTAGTACAGCGTGAAGAAATTTACCCTCACTAAATTCATGCATTTGTTTTTGCATGGATTATAATTGACCAATAAAATGTCACTGCTGTTTGATGTACTCATTAAAGACCAATTGGATTTGACTAGAGGCGTTTATATTAATCAATACCTTTTATTTAAACAGCATTGCGCGCTTACATGGAAATTCCTCGTGCGCAGGGTGCATATAACAATAATAACAATATTAGCTATATTAATAATAATGATGATAATATTAAAAGTACATTTGTTTTGCAACATTTTATCGTTTTTTTCCTCATAAAACATAAGAACACTAGATATTGCGTAGACTCCTTCCCCTCTTCATGCTTTTTATTTTTATGAATGTGTGTTTGTGCCGCTGCTGAGTGTGGCGTGAAATTGGATCATAGTCGAGAGAATAAAACCCTAACCTAGAAATTTATTTGTGTCGATTAATTTTTTGTATTCTGAGACACTATGACCTATTTTTTTTCTTCTTTTTTTTTTTGGAGAAGTAAACGAAAGAATCGAGTGTAACAAGGACGGTGCTCAGCTAACCGTTCTGTGTGTGCTGTTGTGTCAATTGGCAGCAGAAGTTCTGCTGTATTACTCATTCACTTTGACTGGAATCAGCTCCCCTCGCGAGATTTCTCACTAATACATTCCTAGGATAAAACGGCATATATTCAATTCCTGATTCTCCAACTGCCATTCACAATGATAGAAACCAACGTGACCTCATATTCTTACGTTTCACCCACATATTTCTTTTCCCAAATGATCCCTTTGTCTCATTTATAACAAGATTCCTCTGCTCTCTCGCTCTCTTTCTCAGTCGTTTGCCCTGAATTTAGTTTTGTTAATTTGTTAGGATTTAATTATCACCACTAGTCTGATATTTGTTCTTGGCATCACAGGAAAAAAAGGAGGGGGGTCTTAAAAAATTAATACAAAAAGTCTTCTATTGATCAATCGTGAAATTTTGCTGAAAACTGAGCATTAACCGTGCACCGTTGAACCAGAGAAAACAAATCAAACTATCACAGTATTTACAGAGAGCAAAACATTTCAACACCTCCCGTTGCATCATCAGTCTGTGGGAGTTTATTGCTTTCAGAAAACAAGAGAGCAGAGAATTAAATCCTTCCTTCATTGTACACAGCATCACCAACAGGACATTTGACATGACATCAAATAACACTATCTCAGCATAGAGAAAAAAAGACAACAGAGTCAGCACTGAAGAACTAGTTAGGCCCTTTTACAGCACAAAAACCCAGCACATAGGCTGCTGACAAAATACCTGTGGGCGAGAGATGAAAAGAAGGAAGTTTTGCCACATCATACAGCACCATTTGCCCCTTACAGACCTGACTGACACAGTTTAGTCTAGGCGAAAAGAGTTCAAATTCAGCAAATTCGTGGAAATATAAAAGAGAACTGAGAGAATGAGTCAACAAAAACCTGAGGAAAGGTTTACCATACTGTGACCATGTGAGTTTCTAGTCACCTCCCCGGCAAACCAACACACACACACACACACACACATTATTGCCTAAGTGCATCTTGCAACACTGCAAGACACACAATCTGTGTATTAACTGCCCATCAAAGTAAAAAACAAAAAAATGTCCCCATTTTATTAGCATTCCCTGTGTGTTGCAAACAATCACTTGGGAATATTAAACTTACACTTATTCTTTCATGACACCTTCTGTATGATGCCTATGATTGCTCCATCACGCTGCACCCCTTCAATGTCATCTGTTTCTACGAATACTGCATATCAGGCTTTATGATTAAAATGCATGTTTATTTGCTTGCACTTGTTTTGTGCAATTCATTTATAGTTTTTTCCTCTCCGATTAAGAACAAAACTATAATCTGAACACCAGGGTGAACCCACCACCCACCTAAATGCTGCATTTTAATAATAATATGTGTGTTGCAAACTGCTATGCAAATATTGGACTCAACTTTTTTCCCCACAAAACATATGATGCCTTTTACTCTATATTTTATAAGGCCTATAGAGAATACATTTGAACCTTCTTATTGATTTGTTGGTTTGCTTCTTTAAAAGTGGAACAGAAGTACTCACTGTCTAAGGTTTTAAATATTTGCCGTAAAGTATTAGAAGGAAAAGTGTCAGATTTATCCTATTTGTATGAAATCCAGGTGTTAAACAAAGCCCATCAGATTACATCTGAAATATCCCATCCTCTTTTTGATTCATTTCAAATCCTTCCCTCAGGATCTCTGTATAGGGTCCCTCTAGGCGAAGACCAGCAGATTTAAATTTTCATTTAATTCTTGTGCGATTGATTTGCTAAATTTTAAGGGAAAAGGTATGCTGTTTTTAGTACTATTAATGTTGTTTTATGTTTGTCTTAAGTGTGTGTTGTAACATGTGTTGTAAATCTATTACGCTGCAGAACAAATAACCCCAAAAGAGGACAATAAAGTTTACAGTAACACTATATTTTCAATGTCACAACATTTTCTTTATATTTTCATTGTTGCTCTGCTTAATTAGTCTACATCCCTATCATGTTATGTGGTTTCATGAATGAATCTAACTTTATAAAAATAAGCTTTAGCATTTCTATGTACTAGCACTTGTTTTGTGTAATATAATTGATCAAAAGTAGCCTTATTTTCAGTAACACTTCGAGTTTAATGCACTTATTCTAATTACCAATAAGTATGCTTAATTACATACAACTTACCTTATCCCTTATCATAACCCTAGAATATAGTACATTTATTTAATGTCTAGTCTGTTGTTAAATAGTTACACTGTAAAAAGGACACCTTAAAGTAGTGTAACCTTATTTTCTTTCATATTAAGAACAAAACTGCTTCAAAGCTTCTTCTGCAACACCTACGATGCCGATTTGCCCTATATTTTCAATGTCACAATAATTTCCCCATATTTTCATTGTTGCTTTGCCCCATCAATCTATATAAAAAGTTGCAGCGTTTCCATGTACTAGCACATGGTTTACAGTAAAAAAATGATTATGATTATTTTGTTTCAGATTAAGATAAAAACCCTATTACCTGCAGTCTCTAGGGTAAAAAACAATATTTCCCCTCTCGAAAAACATAAATTTTATTAACATTACTAATGTGTTGCAAACAACTACGTGGGAATTTTGAACTGAAACGTCTTATACTGAAACTTTATCCACGACACCTACGATGCTGATCTGTTCTATATCTTCAATGTTATGATAATTTCCCCATATTTTCATTGTCGCTCCGCCCCATCAATCTGCAACACTTCCACATTATGTGGTTCCATGAATAAATCCAACTTTACGGCTGAAAAAAAGTTGCAGCATTTCTAAGAATTGCGTTGTTTCAGCTCATTTTAAGTAAGTAGTTGGAACAAGCAGCAAAAAAAAAAGTTTTTTTAGTGTGTATAAACTGCAATTCAGGGTGAAAAACAATATTTCCCCGACAAATTATGCATTTTATTAACATTCCTTATGTGTTGCAAACAATACATTGGGATTTTGAACTCAAACTTCTTAAACTGAAACTTCATCCATGACGCTGATCTGTTCTATATATTTTTAATGTGATGATAATTTCCCCATACACAGTAAAAAGTGATTAGTTACTTAAAGCAAGTAAACCAATTGCCTTAAAAGCAACAAGTTGACTTTACATAATGTATGTAAAACTATTGTCACTTTTTTTTAGTAAAAGTAAACTAATCACATTTTTTTCCAATACAATTTCCTTTATTATATTAGTTTTTTCCCCAGCTTTTCTGTATCTAGCAAAATGACATACATTAAATTAAATCTGCTCTTCCAGACACTAGTGTGTATTCTAAATTGAATAGAGGCTATAATTATAGATTTTATAGACTTGTGTAATAAGGCACAAAATATGCAATATTTTGATAATTACAGTAATAATTTAAAAATGGACATGGTAAAATAGTCTGACACTGTAAAAAGGAAGTACAATTAGCATAATAATAAAAAATGAGTGATCTGTTCCATGTTGTAATGGGTGTACTTTATTTTTGAAAAGTCAACTTGTTACTTTTAAGGCAATTGGTTTACCTGCTTTAAGTAACTAATCACTTTTTACAGTGTGTTTTCATTGTTGCTCTGCCCTATCAACCTGCAACACTTCCACATCATGTGGGTATAAATCCGACTTTACGGCTAAACAAAGTTGCAGCATTTCTATGAAATAGAACATGGTTTGTGT